GGTCCTAATGGGATCCATTGTATTGTTTGTGCATGAACTGTCAGTTGTCAGTGCCTCTACCATCATATCCCTTTTGCAGTTGCTTCTTTCTTTTTTTTTTGGTTGAATATAGTGTTCTTTCCATCGTTGATGGGCGGAACACATCTGACTCGGCTGCTTTTTGGGTGTTTCAGTTATGATGCATGGAGGGAGAGCCTGGTAATATTGGTCGTTAGGCTGCCTTGTCAGATCCATCTGAAGATATTGACATTTGCCCGGAAATGCTGGATCGCATGACCAACCGGTGGAAAAGAAAAATGTAATTCTCTCATCAGGGAACTTTAATTTAAATGAAATTACCCTTTGCTTTCGCAGCTCACTTCCTGCCTTTTTCTTTCCTTGTGTTCTGCCAACCTTTGCCATACCTAAATTTGCTTGGTTTAATAATCCTCCATGTACAGTGTTGAGATATGAATTAAATAGTTTTTTTCTTGTTTGATCGGCATGAATTAAATAGTTGTAAAATTAACTTGAGAGCTTCGGCTTTATCATTCCTTGGGCGATGGATTTGCTTCCCTATATATAATAGGGTATAATTGAGAACAACCTTCCTATGAACACCAAAACTGTGCAGAAAAATGACTGAATGAAAGCCTAAGCCCCTGAACTTACTTGGTTATGGGATTTAATTTAACCCCTTTGTAACGGCAAGAACTCAAAACCAAACGGATCTCGTGTGTGGGAATCATTTTTCTGAACACAATGAAACGTTGACAAGATTTATGTATGCAGTGCTCGTGCTCTGAAATAATTTTTGAAGTAGATGTTTAGAAACTCTAATTAACTCCTTAAAAAATTAATTATTAAATTAAAAGTAATTATGTATATTAACTTTTATATTGATATAATATTTATAATTTTTTTGATAAAAAATTTTATTTACTAATATATATTTAATGATATTAAATTTTATATAATCAATAAAGTAGTTAAATCTATTAAATTAAGTTAAAAATTAATATATATAATTTATACGAATAAAATTTTTAATTTAATAATTAATTTTTTAAAATTATTAATTAAAAAAGAGAATAATCTATTGCAAATAAAATCTTTAATCTAACAATTAATTATTAAAAATATTAATTAAAAAAATTTAAACAGATTTAAAAAAAAATTAAAACACAACTTACAACACATTTTTTCTTTCAAGTTTTAATATTTGTTCACCCAGATATATATTATGTGTTTCATATTATTCAATCTTGGCTACATTTTTAATATGTTTAATATATAAAGTGCAATTTAGTTACTAAAATTATTAAATAATTATTAATAAATGAAAAAAATTACTAAAAATATTTTAATAAATAAAAAAGCACATATTAGTTTTGATTTTTAAATAAATTAAAGTTTTAATATTAAATTATATCATTTTATTTAATTAAAATTTAATTCAAAATTTAAAAATTTATCTTATTAAATATTGATATTAGATTTAAAAATTAATTATATTAAAATATATAATTAGTTTTCAAATTTAGATGTTAATATTTAATAGAGTAGAATTTTAAATTTTTAATAAAAATTTTAATTTTTGAATATAAATTAAAATTTTATTTAAAAAAAAAAATATCAACACTGGCATACATCAACCTCTTGCTAAATTTAATGTTCAAATTACCCTTTTAATAAGTAGTTGGCCGCTGAAACAAAGGCTGGGTTCGAATCCCCCACGACAATGTAATCAGTAAAAAAAAAAAAAATAGTTGGCCGCCACTTCACTGGAAAATCATTTTTATGATAATAATAATTGAATTTTAAAACGTAGCCAACTTGTCTTTGCCATAATTTTCTCCTTTATTTCTTTTTCATTTTCTTCCTCAAAAGTCCCAAAACCTTTTCGACCCTCTCTGCCTGCCTGGAGATGGATTCTTGAGCTTCTGCTCTTTCTCCCATGGTATGAAAGGAAACGGATTTGTGGGATTTGTGGGATTTGTGGCTTTGCATTTCTTAGGCTTCTCCTCAAGATTTTCTGACAAGAAGGAGAAAAAAAATGGGGGTGGAGGATGCCTCGACATCGAGCTCTTCGAGCTGCGGGCAGGAAGACATAAACCGTGACATTGAGACCAATGTGGTGTTGAATGTCTACGATCTCACACCTTTCAATAATTATACGATTTGGTTCGGGTTTGGCATATTTCACTCGGCCATTGAAGGTTTGTTGGCTTGTTTGATCTCGTTGATCTTCCCATTTTTGTTTGTTCTTATTGGTTTTTGAAATTTGCTTCTGCTTTTTTCTTCTGTTTTGCGATGTGGGTATGGCAATTCTGCCTTTTTTTGTGCTGCATAAAACTACGCTTGGATTATCCTTGTAAAGGCTGATCATGATTTGCGGTTGGCTTTCTCTTTTAGAAAAGGAATTTTAAGAAAAAGAATGGATTGACCAGTGGCATATTAATGGTAGGAACTTGGGTTTTTTGGAGACTATCAGATACCGTGTTAACGGAAAAGTTAATTAATTTTCCAGCGCAGTATGTGTCTGCTTGAAATTTGATGGCAGTGAGGAGTGGTCTGAGAGAAAAGAAAGGTAGGATAATTGGTTTGTATTAATATTTTTCAGAATTATGTGGTGGTGCAAAGTAACATATATTGGGTAGTATAAATTGTGGTTTAGTTTTCTGAACAAGCACTAATAATTGTGGTTTTTTCTTTTAAAAGATTTGGTCTTTCTTATTATAAATGATCCTAGTTGAAAGGCATGGTCTGCCTGCCTGATGCTAAATTGTTTCTGTTGTGGCTGTTGCATACTTCAGCTTCTGTATCAATTATAAAACCAATTAGATTAAGACGTATGGGCACATGGTAGACATTGCAGATATTTGTGGCCTTTAGTTTCCATGTTTTGGCTCAAGGTTGGAGACTTCCTGCTATGAAGCAGATCTCCAGGAAAAGATGGCTAACACAAATTGCTTAGCTTTAGCTGCTCTTGCTTGAAGATTGTCTCTCTATCTAAGTGCAGAATTTTGTTTCCAAAAAAGTTTTATTGGTAACTAACATAACAAACTATCAATTCGGATCTTCGGCTTCAAAATTGTGGTTGGTAATAAGATACTACAAATGCTTGAATTGTCAGTTCAAGATCCATACCTTCTTTTTACCCACTCACCTTAGATTATACTGGATCCCAATGCCTTATGCAACTTCATGTGCTATTATACCAACAAATTGGATGTGTTTTGACAGCTCTAATTTTGGTTGTAGTAGTTTAGAAAGTCCAATGACTTGCCTGGGTACATGCATGACTTTATCTATTGGATTCTAGAGCTAATAGTGATCCTAGTCACTCTTCAAGATTGTAGGTTTATGTGGTCCATCAATTTTTACCCAGTGATTGGAGAAAACATAGCCTTAATTTGGAGATACAAATTCTAGGACTTCTCACTGTAGGTAGGAAGGTGATTATGCATATATATGTATAGGGGTATGAGTTTCTTGTGATATTTTTAGGTATTACCAAAGTTTTAGATAACTTCCTTTTTCTCCTTTCACCCTCTTTTTGTTTTTGTGTGTGTGTGTGTGTGTGTGTGTGTGTTTGTCAGTGGGTGTGTGTTTGTAAGTGGGGGGAGGACGTGGTTTTAATTTTTTATCATTTAAGGCAAGTTTCTAATCACACTATGATTTTTGTCATCTTCTTTTTTGGCCTCCACGATCTTTTATATTTTACTCTTTCTTCTATTGTTAATTAAACTAGTTTTATACTTTTGTTAAAGTGCTTCTCTTGATGCTTGTATTCTTTAGTCAAGTGACATGGAATGGCATCGGATTCCTTAAATTTCAGATTCATTTGAGTGTGTCTGTATGCTATATTGCCACTGATCCAAATCCCCCTATCCCCTTGACCTGCCAAATGTACCAAATGAAGATGAAGTCACTGGTATTTCTGTTCTGGTACCCTATTTTTTAATCTGACAGAATCTTTCTCAATGTTTATGAATATAGTTCATGGTAAGGAGTATGGATTTGGAGCTCATGATTTTCCAGTTAGCGGAGTTTTTGAAGTGGAGCCAAGGAGCTGCCCTGATTTTGTTTTCCGATGTTCCATCAAAATGGGCCACATAAAGATGTCTCCCTCTGAATTTAGAACTTTTATTGAGGATGCAGCTTCTGAGTATCATGGAGATACATATCACCTCATCTCCAAGAATTGTAACCATTTTACAGAAGACATCTCACATAGATTGACAGGCAAACATATACCTGGATGGGTGAATCGGCTAGCCCGGATAGGTTAAAAAACAATTTCTAATTTGTTTTACTAGTTGCAGACTTAGTGTTTCTCATTTGATGCGTGTTTAGTCTACATCTCAGTCGGTCAAGTTGGCTGTTATATTTCACAAGAAAAGAAGATTGCCACAGACAAATCCTTAATGCATCTTTTGGTACAAAATGCAGGTGCATTTTGTAGCTGTCTGCTTCCTGAAAGTCTTCAAGTAACTACAGTTAAACAGTTGCTTGAATACCACGAATGTACAGGCCAGTATACCTCTGTTCTTTCTTAAAGTCTACACTAGTCTTAGAATTGGTAAACCTGATATGCATTTTAGTAATGAATTGGTTGCCATACTTCCATTAACATTGGAGATCTTGTTCTGCATGCAGAAGATGGAAGTGAATCTTTCTCAACCGCTACCCCACGTGAATCAATGGAAGTCTATGATACAGATCCAGAAAAGCAGCTGTTGTCACCATTACGTGAAGCAGATGTGACTTTTGTCAAGGAGACTTCGCAGAAGTGAATGCACACAACCCAAAAGAGAGTTGTTATTTGATTTAGATTAAGAATGCTTGCCCAGATCCAACTGGAAGAATGCTGTTGCGTGCTTGATTCTCATTCAAATGTTGTGATTTTCTTTTTTCTTTCTGATTTTTATCTTATCAGAGGTATTGCCTTCTTTTTCCTTTGCTTTTCATTTGTTTGAACACAAAAGACTTTGAACTAGAAAGTAGTCTGTTGTATTGTTGTATTTGATGACTTACCTGATTGGATTTTTATGAGAGATTTGAATTTTAATTGCTCCTAACTTCATTATAACTTGGCTAGTGATATTCCAAAGTGTGTGTTGGAGATTTAAAACACATGTAGAGGGAAAGAAAGCTGGAAATTTACACCAAAAGGCGGTTACTGATTTCATGACTGAAAGTACAATTGCCCAGAGCAGATGTTCTCATGATTCACCAATATGGTAGCATAAACGTCCAACCGGTTCAAATAAATATCAAATGCAGAAATCATCGTCAGTACACCATACATAAAAACGGCACCCAGAACAGCTTTGACTAACCAAATATTGTTCGTGACTGTGGAAATGCAGAACAACTGTTATGATTATACCATAGTTTAGCCCCTCCATGTTTCTTTTGTCCTCTGAGATAATGCTTGAACCTTGAAAGACTAGCATGCTTATGCAGTGTTGCCCTCGAGTCCAAGCTTTGCAGTTAGCCAAGCACAGACTTCTTCCATCTCTTCAGGGATTGTATAGTGGCCAAGCCTGCATGGTTGAGAAAATATTTGGATTTATTTCGTTAATTATCAAAACTGACAAAAGCATGGAAAATTTACTGGATTCTCTAACTTCATACCCAGTGTATGATTTGAAAGTCACATCCTGAAATCCATTTGATTTCAACACTTGAGAGGATTTCTCACCAAATTTATGTACAACAACATCATCACCTGAAATCAACCATGAGAACTGTTTATTGCGTGCCTGCAGCAATAGCACACATATCCTTGATCTTCACATAAATAATGACAACCTCTAACAAGTTAAGAGCCCAACAATACTATATATAGTAATTCAACAAGATAGTATAGATATAACAGATTAATATGCATAGTATTCAAAGGTTTGAAAAGGAAGTTAATACTTCCACAAGAGAATAAGTCTTATAGTCCATTTGGCCCATCTCTAAAAGAGCTTCTCTACTGTAGAAGTTGAACCTTGGCCAAACACGATTTTCTTAGAAGTGCCTCTTAACTTTTCTTCTAGCTGATTCAGTTTCTAGAGAACTAGAACTAAAGCTACAAATTTGTAGCTTCTGAAGCAAGGCTTCTATGATGGCCAAAAGGGAGAAAAAAAAAAGGGAGTAAAGCTTCTACAGCTAAACTTCTGAGATTGGTAAATTTTATTAATTTATGAAATCATTTATACTTATTTGATATAATTTTGTCATTCAGCACTTCTAAAAGTGTTCCTGCTAGGCAAACAGGTTCTAAGTTACTCAAAAGAGCCTGGAAGTTTCATTCCAAATCCAAAACACCCATTGACAACAAAAAAAAGAAAACAACTATGAGGGCTTCTCTTAGGCCAGAATTGTTTAGCCCTCAGAGTGACTTCTAATACAAGTTTAACCTAGATTAGTGCTAAGAAGACTACTAAATTAATTTGGCACTCAAGTCTCAAACAATATTTAGCTGGCAATGAAAGTAAATTTTACTGACAAAGCCAAATGGTAAAATCCAGAATAAATTGCTAAGGCCAATGTTGATCATCAGAATTCATTCAATCCACAAATTAATAGTGATACAAAGAAGATTCCCCACGTTTCCCTTGAATGTTATCATGTATTTAAGAAAACAGAGTAAGGTTTGGGTCCCATTGCTGCCAGACTCCTAAGCTGGTGTTAAGCCGAGGCTTACACCAAGTGTCTAATCAAGATTACGAAATAAAAAAGACTGTTTATGGGACATTTCCAGTAAAAGAAAAAAAATGAAAAACAATGCAAAGGGTCCTCATGCCACACCACTGTCATGCTCAGGAATAAGATCTCATCAAACTAGTAAACTGACAGACTTTTTATGGGAAACCATGTGTGGTTAGTACTTAGTAAACAAAAACAACGATGCCAAAGAAATATGTTTAAAGTAGTAAATGGTGAAAAAGCGCTCATACAAATCCAATCCCAAAGATACAAGTTAAAATGATGCTACACTATCCCCTCTAAATATGTGTTACCTGATTAGAATAATCTGCCTATGGAAGGATGTAATGGAATGGTGAATAAATACCTTTCCCGTGACAGAGCAAAATAGGCAAGGATGCAGCACGTCTTGCAGCTTCATCATTTCCTTCTATCTTGTTTTTCAAAGTTCTGTTGAAAAGGAAAAATGAACTTAATAACTACAGGACCAGAAGCAGTTTAGATGAAGTTTAAGAAACTTACTTTGAACAAGGAAGCCAGCCACTTAGGCCTAAAACTGCACTTAAATTGGCAGGGTATGGATTGCCATTCCCACAATTTCCATGAGTAAAACAGCTGGCAGAATATAGGGAGGTTGCTGCACCCATACTGAAGCCTCCAACACCAAGTTTGACTGCAATAGGGAAAACTACACTTAGATCAATATATAAATTATGACACAAAAAATATCCTTTGTGAAGATAGGAAACTTAAGATAAAGAAAATTGCATTGTTTGTAAGCAAGTTTATACTTGATCAACCAACACATTTTGAAAGCAAACCTATCAGTAAAGGAAGTTGCATGTTAATAAGGCATTTACTGGAAGGAGGGAGAATGATGCTGATCAAGTACCAAAAAGCTCCAATATATGTACCAAGTTCAACTCATATAGTAAAACTGCAACACATAACTAAATGAAACAGTTTCCAGTTGCTGTCAAAACTAGCGTTTAAGCACTAATTTTCATTTGACAATCAACAAAACATGGGAAATGAGATTAAAAACACACAATCCTGCTGCATTTAAGATATAAGAGTGGCAATCATACTAAAAAGTTATCTCAACAATCAAAGAGAACACTGGTCCTTGAATGCACTGATATTAAAAAATGGAAGAGAAACTTTAAAAATGAGAAGGAATTGCCAAGGCTAGCATAAGCAGTGAGCACATCTTATAGAGTAATGAAAGGAACCTACTGTCGGCAGGTTCTGTTGCCAACAAATTTACAACATGTGCTGCTGCAGCATCCAGGCCCTCCAAATCATCAGGAGCATCTTCCGAAAGCTCTCCCACATCAAACCCTGATTAAAATTGACAGTAGCAATTCAAATAATTTGACATATCATTTGAAATGAGACAAATACAAGAACAATTACTTCACAAAACAACTTTCTTTTAATAGGCAAAAAAGTTCTTAATAGCTAAAATACATACAAGCTGTTGAAGGAAAGCCACCAAATATAGCAATTGGTTGAGTAGGGGCAGTTGGGCATATCCATTTAATCTGCAACATATGATTAGAAGTTTGACAAATTATAAAATTATCAAGAAACAAAATCTTCAATAATTTTGGATACATTAAGAAGGATTACAATCAAAGCTTATCCTGATTAAAATCTAACTATCCTTACATTTGGAAGAGGGAGGGTCTCCAAGAGCTGGGACCAGCTGCCAAAGAAGAGGAAAGCATAACATAAGGATTTGAATAGCCTTTATATTATCTGAAAATAGCAATTAGATGTTTTGGATGTAGAGATATATTTGAGGCATTTTATCACACAGATACGAAACTTGAAATCAATGGCTGATTAAGATACTAAATGGACCACTTGATAATTAAACTAATATTGTAAAACAGCAAAAATGAAAGTCTAGTAAGAAAATTATATTTGAGGCAGCATTTTAGTCAATGAAAAAAAAGCCAGAAAATGGAAAGAAACTTTCAATAATGAAATTAGAGAAAATCAAACTCAAGTCATAAATGTTCTCCATCAGGGGGACTGGGAGTTTGAAGGTTAAGATTATTCCCTTTTAGCTGATAAAACACTTGACAGGAAAGCTAATTTGATTGACAGAACCATCTTAAAGCATACAAAAATTTGGGATAACAAGCTCAGAAAGCGTTGAAATTTTGATATTACCTTGAACCATTATCACCAAGACCATGTAGCCAAACTATCGTGGCTTGGTGTTTACCTTTGGGCCTGACAACATAGGTCCTTCCAAACTGAAGTGCACTTCTAGCTGTTCTACTGCCTGAAGATGTCCTAACAAAGTTCAACATAAATGACTTGGAAGAAAATGGACCTTGTGTACATTTTGCAAACAAAATTCTAATCCAAAATGATAATTAAAGCCCACCAAGATTAAGAAAAAAAGGAATTGTGGTAATGAAAACCAAAGCTCTAATGTGATTTTGTTAATTGGCTCCCACATAAATATTCAAACTACAGCAAGACAGGATGAAGCAGAGCAAATAAACTAACCTGAACTCATAGGAGGACCAGCAAAGCTCATATTGTTCCACGAAAGAATAGCACTAACCACACTGCTTAGCACACCAGTTGAGGAGTGAGCTAATCCTGCAATAATTTACATTTGACATCAAAAACCATACTCAAAAGTTTAAAACTTTTTGAATCAAAACTAATCCAGGATCTCCCTCTCCTCTTTTTTACTCTCCATCTTCCCTCCGTTCCCCACACTGAATAAACAGAACATCCTAATGAATAATCACCTGCTTGATTATCCAAACCAAAAACTTAAGCAAAATGCTAAGATGAAGCCTATACTGACAATGACTACAGCCATACTGGTCACCAATATACTAACATTAGGCAGAAATCCGGCACATTACATTATCATCAATAGAAAAATCATTGTCAGTTCTTTAACAAACATGCGGTTAGCTCCTTGACAATTGCATTTAAATTTGAACCAATACATGAAATTAGAACCAATAAAAATGGCAGTTGACCGACAAAAGGCATACAAACAAAACTAAAAAAATAAACAAATAAATAGGAGGTATTACAATTTGTTCAGAAGAACAAAGATTTATAACATAAAAAAAAAAAAAAAAAAAAAA